CGTTGTTGCAACACTTGAATGGTTCGGTCCCAACGTCTTCAGTTTGAGTTCAAGAGCTTGCTGATAATATTTGAATGCTTGAGAATATTCGCCTTGAAGCTCGTAAAGTCAACCAATGTTGTTGTCCGTTGTTGCAACATCTCGATGGTTCGGTCCCAAAATCTTTCAAGAGCTTGCTGAAAATATATGCATTGATCTCTGTAAACCATTCCAATGTTGTGGTAAAGCGTACCTATCTCAGGATCATTTGTCAACGTATCAATCTTCTGAAATACCGTTCAGCTTTAGCGTATTCACCCATTTGTCTTAATAGCTGTCCTAACTTGTTTAAATCAGATGATGCATCAGTTTCTTCTCTTATCCGTTCACTCAGCACTTTCAACTGTTCATCGCCTTCACTGGTCAGCAACAGTTTTACACTCCAAATTCCGCTCCCAGTTGGTTTTCCGACAGATTCTATTCGAGATATGGTCCCTATTGAAAAAAGTACTTCATCTTCGTGCTTCATAACGCTCAGTTCTTTTATATTGGCGTAAGGCTTTGTGTCAATACTTGTATTAATTTGTATTTCAAACAGAATAGATTCAGGAATGGGACTCAACGAAGCGCCCCTAGCAAGCATGGAAGCTACATCTTTCTCATATGTTGTTGATATGAAAGTATTCATTGAAATCAGTCTACTAATATTGTCCTTTAGCTCATGTAATTCATCAGCTTTTAAATGCTGTTCTCGATACACCGTTAGAAAGTATTCATGATCCATGAATTTCGAATGTTCTTTCTGCAATTGTCGATAAAGATCAGCAATGAAAAATCGAAATTTAAATATAAATATATCAGTTCCTGATCATTGTCTCTGTAATATGATTCATATTCGGTTAACATTTCCATTTTAGATTCGTCAGATGTTGGCATGCGAAGTAGAGCATCCATTAACAATTGATTCCACATAAATACAGCGCTTTCTTTGTCGAAATCACGAATTGATTTTTCATGGTGTGATAAACTAAATACATTCATTGGCATCATGTCGTTTGATAAAACTTTAGCATCATCAGCTATCTGAAGAAGAAGACAGTCTTTATGAGTAAAAACACCACGAGTTTTATTTTGATTATTTAGTTGATGATTAGCCCATGATGCCATTGTGTCGTGGCAACCATCTGTTTTATCTATATCAGCGTCGAGCCAAACAATAGTAAAATTTCAAACTTGTGGTCGTTATCGTGGAACGGATGTATCGCTGGTTCTCGAGAAAACATCGTTGTCATTACCTAGAATGTAAAACGAACACTGCAGAAGATTTCCAACTTTGCGATCTCGTTGCGAATGAAATTCAGTGCGTTCTAATCGAACAATCTTTAGTCCTCAGCTAATAATCAAGTAAACCGTCGAATTTAGTCGGGAACTAAGCGACAGATTATATTCAGAATTGATGTCGGAAGCAAAATGCAAAAATTAGTTATTATCTTGACAAGAAAACATCATTCCACTGTTTTTGTAGGAATAAAAACGTGAGAAATTAGGAAACATTTTCTGTATTATCAACCAAACTGTACGTAGTTATGTATCTCATTTCCTGAAATCGGATAAACTGAGGCATGATTTTATAATGAAAAATCACATTTTCAGTACCAGTTCTCTATGGGTCAAATATAAATGCAAAGTCTTTAGAACGTAAATGTAAGGGAGATGAGTGACGGACGCATTTCTAGAGCGAGTTTCGAGTTAGACCAGTCAAATTTACATTTTCAGTTCTGTCTGGGTAAATTTGAAATTTGAGTTTGACCACAAGAGAAATACAGAAATCGGCGTCTTTCTCGCTTAGTTAATTGTTTTCGGTCTATTGAACGAGTTTATGAGGATGCAATGGTCGATGGAAAGTTTAATTTTCTACATTTGTTGTTCCAACATCCTATCATATGATTCATAATTCTGAGGATGATAATGACTTAGTAATGTGTGAAAAAGCAGCAATGTGCTCCAAGTTCGACCAGACCAAGTCCTTCCATTATGTCAACAATTTCCTTGAACTATTTGCGCATAGTGACAGTGTTGGATATAGCACCTAGAAACTAACGCATTCACTGATATTGTCAGAAGATAGTTTCGTTTCATAAACAGATAAACTGGCGGATTCTCATTGGGCAAACAGGAGAGTACTCGAGAATATACAACTATAAGAATTTCTATAAAATGTGATCAGCTTGCTAGCCCTGGTGTATTCTCATTGAGAATACACGAATACAAGATTTTCTGTGGAATGTGCTGAATTTGATACAATAGAAACTTCGGACCTGCAATTTCGATGACGTTCACATCCACGATATGCTGCTCTGTGGTTCACTTTCATGTTGCACCTCTTCCTCCCCCGAACCGCGACTCTTATATTCACTGGAGTTCGACATGTTTCCACCACGGCCAGCAAGCTGAGCACATTTTATAGAAATTTTTATATTTGTGTATTCCCGGAGTTTCATTGACTTTATCAAAGAAAGTATCATTGAGTGTACGTAAAACTCTTTAGGATGCAGTCATAGTAACTAACGATTTCAATGCACATTGTTCGGAATGGTACGGCGGTAAACCGACCACTTTCGAAGGTGAAAAAAATATATAATTGTTTTCAGTCATTAAATCTTATACAGTTAGTGCGTGAACCAACTCGACTTATATTGAACTCGTGCCTAGATTTAATGGCTATTACTAATCTGAGTATGGTTAGATCTTGTTCCGTACGTTCTCCATTGTGTCAGTCGTGTGCTCATCAGATTTTAAGCCTTGTCCTCACACCATCCACAGCAGTTAATCCGTCGTCCAGTCGTAAGATTTATAACCATAATTCAGTCCACTGGAACTATTTTAGGTATAAAGTTGATTCGTAGTTTCGAACACCGACAGAAGTATTGGGAGCTGAACTTAAAAAAACTTTACTACTTTTATTACTAAGTCCGTTAGTGACATGGTAAATTATATTAATGAGGCAGTACTAAAGGCAGCTGATGTGCCAAGTAAAATTATTAAAATTAACACTGTAACAGGCCATGGTTCACTGAAGAGCTACGACGTTTGAGAAAAAATAAAGACCATTGCTTTACGCAAGAAAAATATTTCAGCTGATTTTTACAAAAGTAAATATCTGCTGAGAACACAAAAATACGAAGATTCATGTAAAGTAGCAAAGAGAAATTTAATGAAAGAATAAATTTAACGCAAAAACAGCTCCAAACCTGGTATAAACTAATAAGTCATGTATTAGGAAGAAACAGACGAACCGATATACCTGTACTTTTGGACTCAAACGGGAATTGGATATATGATAATACTGAAAAGGCTAACATCTTAAACGAGCATTTTGCAAATATTTGTACTATGGACTACCATCGGTCAGTTCGAAATTTGACATTATAAATATAAATAATAATGAAGTTGAAAAGGCATTTGAAACTTTAAACTCGAATAAAGCATCTAGTCCCGGTGTTACTTCAACGTTGGTTAAGGAAGCTGGTATAGTTATAGAGAGTATCTTCACTGATGTTTGTAATCAATCTATCCTAAAGAGTGATTTTCCTCAGTATTTCGGATTCTGAAAATCTTTCGAAAACCTGTAGAGTTTCAACTACATTTCAGCCCGTTTAAAACGACACCGACATTGTATCGGTTAACCGCTCCATTATGGATGTTTGGTTCCGGTTCTCGAGTTAGAACCGAAACGAAAAGAACCACGGTTGCGGTTCCGAACTTCGAACAGAACTGCGGTTCTTGATTCTCAGCTTAGAATCGGAAAACAATTTTTCAGGCAGTAGCAATTCAACAAGATAGAATTCATTTTATAGTAAATGGAAGAATTCTTTTGAATGATGACAGGCAAATATATCTTTTCGTAGCTTTGTCAATAGTGTGTTTTCATTTTGTTAAAAGAAGGGCAAGTCAAAAAGTCTCGGTTCCGAAAAAAAGAAACCGGCTAGAAAATCGTACTTCCGGTTCCATTGTGAGAACCGGCACCACGATTCTGATTCCCAGTGAAGAATCGAAAATAAAGGAACCGCGCTACCGGTTCCTTACACGGAGTTGAACTACTGTTCCGATTCTTCATAAGACCCGAGAACCGAACATCCATACTCTCCTCTCCTTATGTACCAAACAAGTGATGTAGATTTTTCGCAGAATTACGTGTGGGAACGTTGGTTAACTTTACTGTTGTCACAGATTCATGTGTATCCTCAGTAGCATAAAATTTGATTGTTTTATTTTAAATGTACAAAGTGAATGAAACTATGTTGTAATATTGTTTCGGTAGTCGCTGAAAAGTCTAGTTTTGCTAGTACAAAGCGGGAGGATCTGGATGGAAACATCCAGCAGAATGAGGGAAGGTTAATCAAAATACGATCACAAAATATAACACGAAAAAAAATTGATACTAAGTACATGAGTTCGATTGTATAACTTTAAGCATATTAAATAGACTAAGAACAGTTAATTTACTTCTGCTGTTTACTACAACTCTAAGTTCATATTCGAGCCTATATTTATACAAATTTATTTTAGGATTTTTCGATAGTCTAAGTTTTAAAATATGATTAAATTATTTACATTCGAGTTCTGAAAGAATAAAGCTTAAATCAAGAGAGAAAATGAGCGTGTGCTTGTTTATCACAACAATCTCTTTTTTTATTATTTATAGTAAAAAAATATTGGCGATGATGCAGTTTTTATTGTTCCGTTGATCGATTGTTGATTATACAATATTTATGTGACAGCTGCATTTGCCACGGGAACTAATATAGATTCTTATCGTGCTATTAACCAAATAAAGTACGCTACTACATTTTTACTTATATACACAAAAAGCACTTTTAAATTAAAAGTAGATTGTTATTTCATCTTCTCTATTTTCTTCTCTAATTCCTTTGACCATAACATTACGTTCTTCTCATCTTTAGCATCCATGCCACGGACATTACAGGATTCAATTTTACTGACGTATATTGTAGGTCATTATGGCCTATGCGGTAAAAGATAAAAACAAATTTCAGAATAAATTCTTATGTAAGTGTCATGACATATTTTTATTTTTGAGTCAAATAAGTTTTTAATAAGTTTTTTTATTTGATATATAGAAGAGTAATGAAAAAAAATATATTTCATTTATTCCTTCTTCTGTCACAAACTGACACTTGTGTTCCAGAAGAAAAGATTCTTCTTCCTCTCTCTCTCTCTTTTTCTCTATATTTCGGTCTTTTTTTCTTTTAATGGTCGTTTTTTTTTGTTTGTTACTCCTGATGTGCATCCAAGAATTTATCATTCAACTTTCTTTTTTTGTATCTGTTGTTAGAAGCAATAAATGGTTTTCATATTTGTATTATTCGTACAGCCCATATAACTTTTAAGTGTCCACGGTTGCCGGCATGTAGCTATTATATTTGTTTTATCAGCATATATGTTGATTTATTCTTGAAAATATTCATTTTATCATTTTGATAAATGATAGTAATAGAGTGACTACAACTATTTTCTCAAACAGATGTTCCAGTATAGAATTTACTCCAACCGTTCGATAACATCTATTAAAACAAGAATTTGTTCTGATGATAAATGATTCTTGTTACAGATTTTTTAGGAAAAAAAGAGCAAAAAGAAAAAAAATAAATAGATATATAAGATGAAAGCGACGATGATTGTGAAAGCAAATTACAGTAGATTAATATGAAAAAACTAACGTATTATTAGTAACAAATATTCTAATAATTATAGAGAACAATATTCTTCTCTTTTTTCTTTCCAATATTACTTTTTTTACCATCATCATCTTGTTTATGAATAGAAAAAATAAATTAATTTTGATAAAAAAATGTTTTTCACAAATCCATCAATTTCTATTTATTTTAACTTGGTTTATTCTTAATATTGCTCAAAGTGGTATGTTATAAAAATTCATGTCGTCTTCTTTGGCGAAATTCAAATTATACTTGCATGTTATGAACAGTATATTGTTGTATTTAAATTCATTTTTCTTGACATAACCTTTGTTTATTATTCAATTATTTTAGCTACATCAACCGAACAAGAATTATTGAGAGATTTATTACACAATTATGAACCTGCCGTGAGACCGGTTTACAATGCACAGTCAGTTGTGACAATTGATTTTAGAATGGACATTACTCAACTATTTGAATTGGAAGAAAAAACTCAAATATTAACTACAAATGTGAGAATTGAACAGGTATATTTTCGTCTACAGTTTTCATATCTTATACGTATTACAGTCATTTTAGAATAGTCTTTGTAGAAATAGAAGTAACTCATTTTCATCGAACCATGAAAATTTTGCCAAGTTTTAACGTTGAGTACTACCATCTCTCTTCTAGAAATGGCGAGATGAAGCTTTGGGTTGGAATCAAACTGAGTACCAAGGGGTTCGAGGCATTCGATTGCCGTCACATCGTATATGGCTACCGGATTCGTATATATACAACAGGTAAGCTAAACAAAACTATTGCCTTTAGTTCTAAAACAAAAGAAAAAGAAATCATTCAATTGTTTTATTTATTAGCGCATTTGATTTATCATCAGATTCTCCCGGAGCTTATCAAGGCGTCGTCAGTGGTATATTTTGAAAGAAAAGTAATTTACGGTTAATAACATAATCTGTTTATTTAGGACCATACGTAATGGTATATTCAAATGGCGATGTTATGTATCCAGTATTAATGAAATTACGAACATCGTGCAAAGTAAACATTCAGTATTTTCCGTTTGATTATCAAATATGCGCCTTAAAGTTTGCATCTTGGATTTATGATGTATCGTCAATACATTATGAATTGTTAGCAACAAATAAAAATGATCAAACGGAAAGTATAAGAAATAGTGGCTGGCAAATAATGAACGTCGAACAAGGTCGTGTGTGGCGGTAAGTGAAAAGATGATTTATTATATAAAAAATATATATTTATATATATTTTAAATAAGTTTCAGATCAAAGAATAACAAGACTTATGGTGAACTCGTCTATGGAGGTAAGAAAATTTATAACTATTCTTAGCAACTTTAATAATAAAAATTCATTTTTATTAGTTCATATTAAACGTCGTCCATTGTATTACGTATTCAATGTGATTATACCTTGTGCAATGTTGAGTGCACTTACGTGCATGTCTTTCTGGTAAGTAATATAAAACTTCAAAGATTTTATTATTCAAGAATTATTTCTGTACTTTTAGGCTTCCAACTAGTTCGGGAGAGAAAGTGACGTTAGGTTTAACTTGTTTTGTGGCCTTTTCAGTTTTTATGCTTATGGTGGCAGAAAAAGTGCCGGCAACGTCAGATACAATTCCAATTATAGGTACGTTCTCATTGTATATCTTTAAAATAGATCAGAAACATTAGTACTTCTTGCTGTTTTTGTTATTAGGAATTTATTTGACGATTGTAATGAGTTTGACTGTAAGTAATCAGTTCATCTTTCAATTTTTGAGAATTATGAATCTCAAGGTAGTTGTTCTATTATAGTCTATATCAGTGATCATGGCAGTGGTAGTGTCAAACATCCATAGTCAGGCAGCAATATGTACTACTGAACGTCATAAAGCACCAGCGTGGTTAGTTGATTTAGCACTCGTTAAACTGCCACGATTATTAAAAATGAAAGAAAAAGTGAAAGATGTACTTAATCAAAAAGTAAGTTGGTCTAAAAATTAAAGATTATGATATATTTTGAAATTCTTTATATTTCCACATTTAATGATTTTATCAAATTTTGGGAAAGTAATCAGCGACAGATTCTTTTAGGAAGGTCTGTGAGACTGACGTTCACATCAGTCGGAGATAAAAAGTTTTTTCATTCCTAGTGATCCAATTCGAAAAGGCATACAGAAAACCAACAAATTCAAAATATCTTGTCTTATTATAGCTCCGTTCTAGACTTAGGTGGACTTAGTCTTTTGATCATCATCAGAAATCACTAAGAGCACTGTTGTTTCGATAAAACTGACGTTGGCCTAATATCTTGAAAACAACTTGACCGTTAGAATCTTTTCACATCTCATATGAAACAGAAACGTTTGCTCTACAAAATTACTGTGAGAAGATAAAAATCAGAGCAGATACATCGGGTGACCACAAGGCAAAACACACTTTTTTTTCAGTATTTTAGACCTAGAAGCCAGTAGTATACCTTGACCAAAAACAAATTCTATTATTTTGTACAGCTGGTAATTTTGCATTGATCGATATATAAAAGAAAATTTTAAATCGTTCGAAGAATGCTTTTCTCAGAGGTACAAATGGGCGAGGTATTGTTCACTTTTGGGGGATTAAAACCAAAGTAAGACTTTTAGAAATGTATTTTAGGCTTTCAATTTAACCGTTGTATACAACATATATGACGATGTTTTCATGTTTATTGATTTAGTTTTAACTAAATTATATATTTTCAGTTTAAGCTGTAATCAGTGGGAAAAATTGATCATACACTTTTATTTTGAATTTTTACATGACTACGATATTTAAGAATAAATCCGAAAAATGATTCAAGTAGTTAAAAGAGTTTCCAATCAGATGAGATGCATATGAAAATTCCATAAAAATTTTTTGAGGATGGAATCGCTGAAAAGCCAAAAGTTTAGAAAACTAAGTCTCTAGTTTTTCCACTGAAACTTTTCCCAAACACTATAAATGTGCAAAGCAAACATTTATGAACAAAATGAGACGTTTTCGAACTCTCAATAACCTTTCCTCTTTGAACTGCATTCATTTTTCGAAAGGCTTGAAATCGTCAAAACTGAAAAGCTTAGGGTAAAAACAACAAAAAATGTTGAGACCTTTCGTACGGGGTTAGAGCAAGACCAGATATTTTGGAATCTGCTGATTTTTTTGTATGCACTTGTTATTTGCTGTTGTCATTACAAAAGAAGCGAATGTTATCGTTTCTAATTTATTTACGTTACATGGCTTAACGTTCTGTCTATATATGTCTGGTTAAACACAAAAATCACGAAGTTGAAGAAGATGTGTGTGTATGATCTATGATGCATGTCGACAATAATTCTTTTACCACTTTCACTAAACTCTACATTTTGTCGTATTTTTCCTTTTCCTCTCGATCGACTTATTATTTCTACAAACTTCTATTCTGGAAAAAACTACATCGCCCTGATTTATTACTAACAACAACTTTTTTTATGAGCCGATTCAATTTACTAGTGCGCATGACAAGATTCTACTGTTGTAAACACTGTACATGCTAAAGGTGGCGAAGTATCCATATAATTACTCATTACTCGTTTTAATTGTATCAATATCATATTTGTAAATATCATTATTTGGCCTAATTGATCTTGTGAAAGATGGCAAGCTGGGGTTTTGACCTTTGACTCATTGTTTGTTTCATTTGATCCGTCAGTACAAGTTTTTTATTTATCGTAGATCCACGAATGGTAATTAAAACTGATTCGATTCAAATGAAAATCTATTGTAGGGTTCCTCGGCTTATTGTACTTATTAGTGATTATAATGAGTGTGCATCAATAAAATTTGACAATTTTTTTATACTTTTGATACAATTCTGGTTTTAAGGCGCTTATAGGTCCATCTACGTATTTAAATGATTGTATAATCATTACATTTTTTTGGTTATGTATTTCACGATTTTAGTGTACATGGTACAAATAACATAATAACCGTCAAACTTTGCAGCAATCGATCAAGAGAGACTCACCAGTTTGTTGTTTGTATTCTCTTTTTGGAGGATCGTTCGTATATATGTAAGACATAATCAACGGATTGCTTAGTACTTGTCGGTGCTTGACTTCGAATAGAATTCCTCAGGTATTCTTGCTTTCTTTACCAGCTTATATATCTTCTGCAGCGTGTTTACATGGTATGTTAACACATGTTAAAATTATTCTGTATCTATAAAGAATAAATGTCTTATTCTATTCTATATTCAGGAAGATCCATTAACATCTGAGTCAAGTCAAATGCCATTATCAGCAACCAAAAATGAATTAGATATCAATTATGAACATATGATTGAAAATTTACTTTTACAACAAGTTTTATTATACACAAAACATCGTCCTAACCCGAGCGAACTAAATTTTCATTCAAAAAACAGTCATGACGATTCTTTGTGGATCAGACAATCGCATCGTTCTAAAAACAGAAATCGTTTTGTTAAATTAGCTCGTGATAAACTCGGTGGAGATGATGTAGATGAACTTTTAGTATTAACACCTTGTAAGCAAAGATTAACGTCATTCGCACTGCTGAACATCAATTCGTCATCTTCGACAGATAATGACAGTGAACAACAACAACAATTTCGTCAGTTAGAAACAATACATAATTACTGTGTACATAGCGAAGAACCATCTTTGTGTTTGGTAGAAAAACAGAAAGTCGATAAGAAAACAGAACAAGAAGCTAATTCAAGTGATATAATTGATTATATTTTGAAGCAATTTCACAGTACTTCGGCGCAGTCATCATTCGATGATGATCAATTGGACAATAATCTTGTTCATCTGATCAAAGAACGCAGTAGTCAAAAGCGAACTAATTCATCAACTAGTTCTGATGCATTTTATTTTCGTTTACAATGGTTAACCATCGCACTTGTCATTGATCGATTCTTCTTTTGGACATATTTTTGTGCAACATTGATTAGTTACATAATTACGCTGTGGCTAATTCCGATTTCACATCCCAAATTAATTATCGATATAACAACATTGTGATGAATCACGCTTAACTCGCTTTTTCTAATTTTATTTTTCTACACATTTTTTTGTAATGCCATTAGCTTTCGATGAAAGGACTTAAACACTTTTTGAGACCTTACACTGCTAATTTTATAATTCACATATATTTTTCCCGATAACCTATTCCACTACGCTCAATTCGTTACTCAATCTTCCGTCTGGCATGCATAATCAGCAGATCAACAAGATTATATAGCCATCAAATGGTATAACATTTAATTAAAAAATAAAGTCGTTGTCGAATATGACATTTTCGCAGTTTATATAATCAAATATTGGATTTCTATTTTCAGTTGAAATGATTCGAAAAAAGTGACTTTATCTTCATCTTTTAATCTTCTGACTAGCATTCTTTCTATAAATCCAGTTTATCATAGATCGAAAAAGCATGGTGAATTTGTGCTGCTGCTATTCGCAATGTCGATGATAACAGCAAATGGCCTCAATGACGAACATAATGGTTTGTCTAAATATGATGAAAGCGAGAATGACGACTTTACATGCAAAACGACAAGTAAAATTTTATCGTATCCAGAAATTCATATTTAATAGAGATATGTCATTTAGGTAAGTCATACGAGTGATATTTATCATCCTTATTTTTTGGATGTTCCATATTGATATTTGTATTCTTCAGTAGATACAGAGTGAAGCAGTATACCGCTCATACGATAAGATAATCATCGATATAACTTTTCTTTTTTAAAATTAAAATGATAAGAATAGGAATGCTGATAACTTTATGATATTTTTCATAAAGGATTTTTCAGTCTCACGAGGAAAGGACGCCAAGTGATAAATCGCTTCTAGCTTAAAACTTAGCAAACAATAGGTAATCGAGTGTGCTGATTCCGAATACTAACATGAGACGGGCCGCTAGGCCTCCAAACACTGGATTTCTAGAAAACCAGTTTTCCAGAAACTCCAAGAACTCTCCAGAACTTTTCTTAATAAGTTAAAATTGTAGCGCGCAAAATTCTCATCACAATGAGACATTGCCCAGCTCTACATGATATTTCTTTGCAAAGTTATGGAATTTACGAGAAATGCCCTAAATGTTCATTGTCAGCTCAAAGCTACAGAAGAAATTAATGTAGGGCTTTTCTTGTAAATTTCATAACTTTGCAAAGAAATATCATGTAGAGCTGGGCAATGTCTCATTGTGATG